CCTTATCTCTCTGACTCTCTCCCAGTGGGAACGGGAGAACTTTGGCCGAAATTTTCTATGATCTTACGAATTTTTCAACTATTACAAAGTGAACTTTCTGGTGCTCTGTAGTCTGTACCATGTCATGGATACAGTTTTTTTTTCAACCAAGTTTATTAATAATTCATATACTACTTAATAAATATACGAAAATAGTGCTTATTTCTCTTCATGGTTATGAAAATATTATTATAAAATTATGTTATTTTAATAAATATATATTAAAAATTAAAATATTTTATTTTTAAAATATAAATTAAAATATTTTTTATTTTTTTAATTTTTTAAAAGTAAGACACATAAGTAATAATTCTTAAATATATATAGTTTTTTATTAATTTTTTGGTATTCAGTAATTGTATTGTATTTTAATTAATCTAAAATCGAGTCATATCAGATTCATAAAAGAAACTCTCTCAATATCTATTTTTCTATTTACGAGACTCGAATTTGAAAACTTACTTAAAGGTATCGAGTTCTTTCCACTTAGATCAATACTGAGTTCTTTTAATTCTAATCAATACCAAATTTTTTTCACTCGAATCAATAAATTATTGGTTAATAAATATATACAATGATAAGTGTGTATTAATATTTAATTTTAAAAAATTAAAATATTAATTTATATTTAAAAATTAAAATTTTAATTTAATATTTAAAAGCTTAATTAAATTTTAAATTTTAAATTAAATTTTAATTAAATAAAATGATATAATTTAAAATTAAAACTTTAATTTTTTAAAAATTAATATTAATACTTTTATATATATAAAATATCACAATAATTATTAATTGAATAAAAAAGTTTATTTTTAAATAACATCTAAAACTATATTAAAAAATTATTTCTCGATGTTTGTTGGGACTTAGGGGTGAGGACATGGAAATAAATTTAAAAGGTGAGGAATGATTGTGCATGAATATAATAATTGCAAAAGTGTAATAGTAGAAGAATAATTTTTTATATAATTGTTATACGTTGTTAAATAAATAAATATATTTAATATTATAAATTATAAATAAATAAATAAATAATTTAAATAATATATAAAATTTTATTATGAGATGATGTAAAAAACTATCCTTAAATTATTTTTTATTTTTCCTTTTTTATCCGGATACTAATCTTCCGTTCTGTTTACCTTTTTTGTTTTT